ATGTGTACAGCCATGTAGTACGTTTGTATGTATGTATGTGTGTGTGTGTATGTATGTGTATATGTATGCATGCATGTATGTATTTATGTTTGTATGTATGTATGTTTGTATGCATGTATGTATGAATATATGTATGCATGTATGTATGTATGTATGTATGTATGTATTATTATTAATGAAACATTTATAATGAAACATTTATAAGCGCTAATTAAAATCAAAAAGTTCTCTAAAGCGCTATCTATAATCAAACAAAGTCAAAAAATAAAAAAGTACAGTCAATGGCGGTAGTAACAAACAAATAATTATTCACTTAACAACAAAATCAAAGCGAAAATAAGTAAGTTTTAAGTTTCTTTTTAAAATCATCAAGTTTGAAATCTTTAGTTCTAAAAGATCTCGGTAAGCTGTTCCAAACCATTGGTCCAGATACTGCAAAATCTTTTGATGCTATCTGCAGATTGACATCAGGTACAACCAGCAAAATGCCATCATCTGATCTAAGGTTCATACTAGAGCCCTGCGCGGTTTGCGGTTGTCGCGGTTTAAACTGCAAAAACCGCACCGCAACCGCGGTTTTTTGCGGTTGCGGTGCAAAATCATGCGGTTTTACGCAGTTGCGGTTTTGAAATATGCGGTTTTTCCGCGGCGCGGTTTTTTTAATCAAAACCGCGGTGACCGCAAAAATTTTGTTAAATATTTTTGTTCGTCCATAACATTTTAAAAATTGCATTATCATTGTAATAATTTTATATATTAAAATCTTAATATCTTTGGAAGCAGTTGAAGCAACCATTTTCTTTTTCCTGTTTACTTTGAAAGAAGTAGTTATTTTATTTACGGCGTGGTTAATTATCAATTATTTTATAAAAATGTCCGAGGTAAAAAATGTTGAAGTTGATCCACAGGTAGATGTAATTGATAAAGAATTTTTGATTAAATTGATGCTGTCCAAAAGCAAAGACGTTTCTTTAAAAGCTCAAGTTTCCTATTTTCTGTTCAGCATCCCAGTTTCGAGTGTTTCGTCAGAAAGGGTAGGATCATCTCTCAATTATACACTGCAAAAGAGATGGTCCAGTTTAAATCCATACAAAATTGACAAAATGTTATTTATTAAGAGTAACAGTGATTTGGATGTAGATAGTTGTGATTTATAATGCCAATAAAAGCATTAATGTTGTTTTTCATTTCTTGCGGTGCGGTTTTCGACGTTGCGGTTGTGGTGCGGTTGCGGTTTCAAATGTTGCGGTTTTGTGCGGTTGCGGTTTTTGAAAATTCCAACCGCGCAGGGCTCTAGTTCATACCACTCATCATTATAGACTTTTCTTTTATTTTATCTATCAAATAACTTGGTAACAAGCCATGCACAGTTTTATACATTAAAATACATATTTTATATTTAATTCTTTTCTTTATAGTAAGCCAATAAAGGCTCTTAAGAATTGGAGTAACATGGTTAAATTTGAGACCTCCAACAATCAATTTGGCTGCTCTATTCTGAATAGATTGAATCGCAGAAATAGACCTATCTGGCAAACCGTAAAACAGACCATTGCAATAGTCCAATCGTGAATGAACCAATGCATGCACCAAGGTATGAATAGCAGATTTATCTAATGACTTACGGAGTTTATAGAGTTCTCGAATCTGTCCGGAGCATAAATTTGTTATCATCTTTATATGATCATGCATCGATAATCTAGAATCAAGAATGAAACCCAGATTAGTTGCTTTGTCACTAAATTCTATTTTAACATCTCCTATTTTCACTGAATCGATATTAAGTTTCATCAGCTGCTGCCATGTACCTATTGGAACAAATTTTGACTTCTGCTGATTTAATCTAAGACCATTGTTTGACATCCAATTATCTATGTTATTTAGGCAGGTTACAAGTTTGTTGATTTCAGATTGCAGTAATTCTGGCTTATTACTAACTATAATCTGAATATCATCAGCATAGGCATGATATTTAAAACCGAAATTACCAATTACTTTAAAAACTTCAGCGGTATACATGATAAAAAGAATAGGCCCAAGCACTAAACCTTGTGGCACTCCTGATGTCAAAATCGTTTCATTAGATAACACATTATTGAAAACTATTTGTTGCTTTCTGTCAAACAGATATGATCTGAACAACTTGATAACAGTACCTGAAATACTATAATCATGAACCAATTTTTCCAAGAGAATCTGATGGTCTACACAATCAAAAGCCGCACTAATATCTAAAAACGCGACTAGAGCCATATGTAGTTTGTCCAAAGCAGCAAACAACTCAGAAGACACATAAAGCAGTGCAGTTTCCGTTGAATGATAGCGGCGATATCCAGACTGGTGAACTGGTAGCAGGTTGTTTACATTCAAATGATTCAAGAGCTGTTTGGCAACCACTCGTTCAAATATCTTGGAAATGAAACAGATGTTGGAAATTGGTCTATAACTAGACAAATCATTTCGATCCATATTCACTTTTTTTAATGCTGGATAAACCATAGCATGCTTACAGCCATTAGGAAATGTGCCACTGCTCAGACTCAGATTTAAGATGCTGGTAAGAAAAACGATGAATAGATCAATATATTTCTTTAAAATATGGGTCGGAAAGACATCTATCATACATGTTTTTGATGGCAAACTGAGTACAATTTTTTTAACGTCAGATTCTGTTAGAAGCATAAAGTCAGGAAAAGAACAATTCCCACTGTACTGAGCTTGACAAATAGTCGGACAATCACTCACATTGGTAGACTGTTTAATTTTATTTACTTTATCATTGAAAAACTTTAAGAATTGAGACGAATCTAAACTAACAATTTCACTCAATGACTGACCAGTGACCTGATTACAAAGGACTTTATTAATAACATCCCATAGATTTTTAGAAGATCCACTATTGTCTGCTACAAGTCTTTTCCAATAACTGTTTCTTTTTTGTGAAAAAAGCCTAGATTTTTTTCAGAGCTGCTATCCACTCATTTTTACATTTCTCTGTCTGATATTTTCTGTAATTCCTTTCTTTCTTTAGACAGTCTTTTGAAAGATTTACATTCACCATCATACCATGGAGCATTAACATCACATCTGACTTCTACAAAACGAAGTGGAGCAACTGCATCAGCCAATTTCTTGAGTTCAAAACTCATCATATCAAACTCAATATTAATATTATTGCTTTGGCAAGACCTTGATAATGGAGAAGTCTGTATATATTTAATGAGATTGCTTTTATTTAGGTATTTCCAGGATCTAACTTGTTTCTTGACTATTTTAGGACGCTTATGAGTTAATGGTATGTTAACCTGAATTAAACTATGGTCTGAAAAAGTCCCACTGGGAAAAATCTTAATATCTGAAATCTGAAAATCTTGAGAACAAATAATCAGATCAAGAATACCTCCATGTTCATGAGTCGGTTCGTCGATCAAATTTTTTAATTGAAACATTTCTAATATTTCCAATAAATTTACAGTATGACGATCTTCCTGTTTCTCAAGGTGAATGTTGAAATCGCCCAAAAGTATGATATTTAAACTAAAAGAAGTGATATTTTCTAGTAAACATAAAAATTCTTCAAAAAATAAATTACTAACTAAAACTGATCCTGGCTAATAGAACAAAATCTTTGTTGCTAATAAATAATTTAACAGCAAGTGCTTCAAATGAACTAAATATTGGCAAATCTATTTTCTTAAACTTAAATTCATTACTGAAGTAAATAATTAAACCCCCATGGTGAGGATCATTTATTCTTAAAAAATCAACATAACTATATCCTGGTGGCATTGATGATTTAACAGAAATGTTATTTGAAGATCCGTGCAAAGTTTCGACTAAAACGAAAATATCTAGCCCATCATGAATCAAATCATAGATCGTATCAGTTTTAGAAATCAATGATCTAATGTTCAATAAACCTAGTGTTAAATTACGATTTATTATGTTGCAGTCTTTATCATTGTTATCATTTATTTCTAAATTTTTGACATATTTTATATTAACACTGGTTTTTTCTGTATTTTTACAATCTTCCATCTCCCTACCTTTCCTCTCACTCTAAACAAAAAATTTTGATTTTTTTTCTTCTCGCTCCATAACTTTAGCTTTATCAACAAATAATTTGAATTCCTGCCTCTGATCCTTTGTTAAATCATAGTTCAGTCCAACATGTGAAAATTCTTTTAACGACTTGAATTTATATACATTTCTCATTATTGAGTCTCCGAGTAAAACGCAATCTAACTTTATAATTTCTCTTTCTTTAACGTCACTAGCTTCTTGTAAAGTTTTCTGGATTGATTTGACATCACTTCTAATTACTTCAACATTCAATTTAACTTCTTTGCTGACAATGCTAGAAAATGTTTCTTTTATTTCGTTTTTAAAAATTTTAATTTCCTCACGTAAAACAGTATCGAAACGATCAAGTTCATTAAGTTTAGATTGGTTATGGTCAACAACCATTTTTATGCTATCAACGTCAAGTTTTACTTTTTTGTTACTATCATTTATTTCATTTAGTTAAGAAATAAATTCATTTTTAGACGCATCCATTGACTTAGCCAAAGAACTAACATCTTGAGATAAATCAACACAGCGTTGACAAAACCATTTTAAACCTTTAACACTTTTCAAAATTTCAAGAATATCATCGTTAGTTTCACATTTATTGTGAACAAAAGTCTTGCAACAAGTGCATGACAACAAATCTTTACTTGGAACTTTTATTGTACACTTCGTACAACAGTAGCGACTACCGGACGACATTATTGAATTTATTATTATAATTAATTACGCTTACTATCAGGGAAATTCCTATCACGTGATTTGATAACTTACAGATTATCAAATTTCACTAAAATAATGAATTTTACAAACTAAATTTTATATAAAATTATTCAAAAATCTAATTATGTTAATCTATCCAAAAAAATATCAATAAACGATTACATTTAACGAAAACACCAAAATTAACTGACGAAACGACAATATCAACCGTCCAAACGGTATGTATGTATGTATGTATGTATGTATGTGTGTGTGTGTGTGTGTGTGTGTATGTATGTATGTATGTATGTATGTATGTATGTATGTATGTATGTATGCATACATGTAAAAAAATAGCAAATCGACAGTTTGTTTTGAATGAGTTACTGTTTTTTTGGCGAATAGTTCAAGTTTGTGAGATAAACAAACGAGAAAGTAGTGTCAGCGCAGAAAATCTTAAAAAAGGAGTTTGAAAGCTTCACAAATGAAGAAATTGAAAAATGTCTACCAAAAGGCACTGCAAAAAAAGCGGCAAATTGACGGAATGTTTAACAGTGTTAAAAATAATGAAAATTGATGGCATTCTTAATAAATGCGCAGTTTTTGTCAGCGGGAATTTGAATAAAATGAAAAAAGAGTTGCTTGCTTGCTGAAAAAGGCATGCTTGCTAAACAACAGGTGTGTCTATACAACACTTTAAACTATTTTGCAAAAAATATCAAGGCGTTAAAAAGCAATTTAAATCATGCGGCGTCCAACACAGAAAAATATTTTCTTTACGAACCAGTTAACAAAAACAATTCCAATACTTCTGTGCAAAGGATCAACTCAGTATATGACAACAGAGTCAACAAGAATATAAATCAACCACCACCACAACAACTACAACTACTACAACAACAAAGTACTTTATGGGCAGATGTTGCGAAGACTCTGACTGAAAACATCAATCAACCATTCACAGTTGTTCAGTCCAAAAATGACCAAGATAATACAACACTCCAGAGATGGTTAAACAAAGTAACGTCATGAAATCTGAAAAGAAAATTTTGTGAAAAAAACGAGTTAGAAAAATAATTGGTAACAAGAAAAATGACGAATTAATCATTTTTTTCAATGAGCATTGTTCAAAAAGTGCTACAGAAATGATGTTTTAAAATATTTAAAACCCATTGATATAAACATCATTTCATGTTTTCCAGTACTGAAACGCGCAGATTCTCCCACCAATGAGAACCCAAACAACGATGATTGTGAGTCAACGATGTTCAGAGCAGGCGTCGAAAGTTGTGATACTGCTAAGATGAAAAATAAAGACGTTATTTTGGTTCAATCCAAAAAAAACTATGGCACAAACAGCACAACGAAAAACAATAAAAAAGTTAATTCCAACAACAATGTCTGATTCATTTTCTTTAATAAACGTTAATCCAAATATTAATGATGACAACGGTGATGATGACAAAGAAGACAAGTTAGACTTCAAACAGACAACATGTAAGAGGTATGACAATATTAAATTATTAAACGAAGAATATAAATCAATAAGCAATAACTTTGATAACGATGTGTGCTTCAACTTAATTCATTTGAATGTAAGAATTTTGATTCACAAAATAAAAAATTAGAAAGTTATTTGTCGAGTTTCCAATTCAAATTTAATGTTGTAGCAATAACGGAAAGCTGGTTAAACGAACGTAGTGAGAGTTTGGTTGGGATGGATGATTTTGACTATAGTTATGTTGGCTAAAATCGTCACAATAATCATGGTTGAGGGGTTGGTTTCTATATACACGACAAATCTAATTTTTGAATAAAAGATGATTTAAATGCAATTGGTTCACCAAAGTTTGAAATGTTAGATCGTTAGCAATTTAACATCTAAAAACTCAATCATGATGGTTACCTATCAACCACCGTCCTACAACGTTAAACAATATTTTGAAGAAACAGATAATTTATTGGAACAATTAACAACGAAAACAAGTTTATTTATCTTTTGGGAGATCTAAACATTGATTTGTCATCAGAAAATAATGGCAAAATTAAAATACAATTGAATCAAATTTTGACATGTTACAACCTCAAGTCCATGATTGACATTCCAACATGGATCAGTAATACAAATCCATGTTACAAATCAACCTGAAAATGTTTTGCAGTTGGGCACCATTTTATTTCTTATTATTCTTTAAAAAATCAGAATCTGACAGACGCAGAAACTGTTACAGCATGCAAGGCAATAGTATGAAATGGTAACGAAAAAATAGATGAATAAATAAATAACGGAGAAAAAAAAGTTTAAACATGAAAAGTATTGAAAATAAAATAAATTAATGGTATAAAAAGGCAAATAAATAAAGTAATTTATTGATGGACTAGATAATGATTTAGTGAGTTAGTGAGGTGATCGATAAGTAAAATGAAAACTAGATTAAGTAAACGATAAAGTTTTGAGTGCTAATATATTTAAGGTGTCTTGTGAGGAAGGTTTTTCCTGACATGTTGATTGAGTGGCGACTTGATAGTTACGCTTGCGTTGACGAAAGTTGTGTGTAGTAGTTTTGATTGGTGGTAGTAGAAGATGGATGACGTAGTTGTTATTTTCTACTTTCTTGAACAGCCTTGAATGGAGTGTGTATTATATTTGAGTGACGGTAGGATATGATGCAGTGATATGATACGATATGATATGCAGGATATGATACTAGTGATTCAGTGATGTCGAATAATTTGATACCTCTGAGACCATGTGAGGAAAGCGTTTTGAGTGCGTAAAATGTTTGAAAGTCTTTTGTGATGATGTGATGATATGAGGTGCAACATAAATGTAGAGATGAATGTGTTGCCTAATATTTATAATTGATTCGCGCGAGTGATTGATGGGTGTTCTGGAAATAATATTATTTTCTTACGCTTTTTGTAAAAGATGAGTTCGAATGATTTATTGAGATTAAGTGACAGGTTGCATCGTTTTGACCATGTAGTTAATGAGTCGAGTTCTGATTGGATAGTGTTTGTGTTAGATGATGGGATGATAAGGTAGGTGTCGTCAGCGTATTTGATGATTTAATTAGAACTATGAAGAGTTTTGAAAGTAGAAACATTGATGACGAAAGTAAATGGTTCAAGGGCAGAACCTTGAACTACACTGGAATTAATAAGTAAGGTAGATGTAAGAGTAGAGCTAAAAAATGTAGAATGACTTCTATTAGAAAAAATAAAAAAATAAATTTAATATAATATTGTAAATGTTGTCAGGTAGAGGAAGAGAGGAAGAGAGGCTAGCTTATTTGAAAATGAGAATGTCAAGAAAGACGATAGAGAATGTAGATGAGCCTGCGATCTGTCAGACGACTTACCAGTTTTTGCTTGCACCAATCAAAAAATAAACAATAAGACACTTGTCGATGTTTTACTCTTGAAATATTCTTATTCGACTCGCAGAATAGATGTTTTGAATAACCGTTCCTGCAGCGTCAACTGGACAAGTGTGTTGAGCTGTGATGATGTGGACGTGGTCTTCCGAAACTTCATCGACATATTTCGGCTACATTATAAAGCTTGTTGTTCAGTGACATCAAAAAGAAAGACTCGAAAAATGACAAAAACAAACCGTGGATAACTAATGATCTTAAAAAGTTGCGTAAAAATAAAAAAATGTTGTATAGGAAATATTTAAAAAAAACATCTTCAAACGACTTTTCAGCACTCAAATCATGCAAAAAGTTATGCACCAAGATCATGCTACAGTTGAAAGAATAATATTACTTTAATCTCCGAGAACAAAACAAAGAGAAGAGATGGCAATCATCAACTCATTAACAAACAAAATAATGAAAAAACCAACAAAGCACTTAACATAAAACGATAAACAAATTGAGGAACCAGCAACTTTTCTCAACAACTAATTTGTCAATCTAGCGCCAGTTATGCAACAGTCATTTGCTGAAAACACAGACTGGAAAACATTTCGATCACAAAATTTTTTTCAACCAGAGACGTCAAGTGGTTACGATAACATATCGACAAAGATAGTAATTTCTACAATACATTCAACTGCTGTGATTTTTCAATTTTTCATCAACATGTCATTCAACATATCTTTCCAAAATGCTTTAAGACGTCAAAGATTATTCCAATAGCTAAAGAGAGCGGTAGCACAGATGCTAAAAATTTTTGACCAACATCTTTTTTGCCTGCCTTTTCAAAAATTATTGAAAAACTGGAGCACAGTCGTTAAATCATATACCTAGAATAAAAAAAAACATTTTTTTCAAATCAACAATTTAACAATTTGGTTTTTGACAAAATCACTCAACTGAGTTGGCAAATATAGATTTGATTCCAAAAATTGGCGTCCCTGGTGAGAAGAAAAATTTTGTCGTTGGAATATGTATTGACTTGTCAAAAGTGTTTGACTGCATGCATTGATCATTCTATTCTGTTATACAAATTTCAGTATTATGGTTTAAGAGATTCAAGTTTGGCTTGGTTCTGCAGCTACCTCTCATCAAGAGACCAATTTTTTACCTGTAACAATGAAAATTATTGTAATTTGATCAACAAAATCGCTGTAATTTATCTTGTTTGTGAACGATCTAGCAATGGCCACAAAATTTTTCAATTATGTCTGTTATGCTGACGATTCCAATTTGTTTAGTGAAGGAAAAGATATTAACAAACTTCTTAAAACACGAAAGAAATAAAACATTTGAATTCTTGGTTTGCACTAAACAAACTTATTTTAAACAATTTCAAAAACTCAAATGACAATTTTTGGCTCATTTCAGTACTTAAACTACAAAAAAACCGTGCAAAATTAAAATAAATGATCATGACATCAAAGAAAATAAAACAGTTAATTTTGTGGGTGTTCATCTAGACCAGAAACTAACTTTTCGTGATCATGTCTCAAGTACTGTAAAAAAAACTAATCAAATCTATTTGATTGATCAACAAGATAAAGTTTAATCTCACAAAAAAGTGTCTAAACATCTTATATCACTCGATCTGCCTGCGACTTGTTACATATTGCAATATCGTTTGGGTTGGCACATACCACTCACTCACGGATCCATCCCGTCAAACTCATGATGGGAGGAAGAGCCATCAGAAGCATCAGCAGGTCGACGATGAGGTCGCGTACCAAGAAGTTATTTACCACAACAAATAATCTCAACTTTTATCAATAAAATGTTTATTTCACGTCGCTTTTTGTTTACAAGCAATAAATATTAAATTTTTCACTACGTTCAATAATTATTATAAGTACGCAAACAGTAAGAGAATGATAAGTTATTTGCTGTCAAATAAGTCTAAAACCAATATCTTACATTCACATGTATTTTGTAAGGGTCCTAGGACCCGGAATAATATTTTTATGAATGGATTTGAAGATGATGGGAAGTTGATTTTGATTTAATAAAGGTTAAATCGTTGTTAATGACTAGCAGTTAGGCGTGCACTGTTATTAGTTTGAAAAACATAATTTACATTTTTTAAATTTATTCGTTTGCTTACTTTGGATATTTGTGAACGCATTTTTGGGCTCAAATATATTTAACATTTTGATTATATAGATAAATTTTAATAATAATTGATATATATATATATATATATATATATATATATATATATGTGTGTGTGTGTGTGTGTGTGTGTGTGTGTGCGTGTGTGTGTGTGTGTGTGTGTGTGTGTGTGTGTGTGTGTAAGTGTGTTTGTATGGGAGTGTGTGTGGGAGTGTGTGTGTGTGGTTGTACATTTGGGACACTAACATACTAACTAACTAACTATAGTAAGATAAGGTTTTTTAACATCTAACATTCAATGATGATAATTGTTAAACTTTGAAAATTTACGCCTAGGATTTATTAAATTTACTGTTTTTCTTCAGACTTGTATACGAAAATGTATTTATGTTATCAAAGTATGTTTCCATTTAGTAACCAACTTCTGTGAATGGTGCTATTATAATATTGCAAGAAGCGTTGCTTAATTCATCTTCTGTTTAGTCGAACTTTTTGTGTTTTCAGCATTGACTTAATGTGTAATTGAAGACGTGTAAATATTACTGGCTTACTAACATATTGACAAATCTGTTAATTCCTACCAACATCTAACAATACGGACAATAACTACATAACTGGGAATATATTTTGCCTAGAAGGTTGTGCTAGATGAGCTCATTAGGAGCTCGATCAAAATCGTACTGTCTATTATTTATTAACTTAACTTTAATTTTATGGAGCAAATAAAAATTCATTTTGTTTGTATGTATGTTAAAACAAAAACATAATAATTGTATGTACGTATGTATGTATGTATGTATGTATGTATGTATGTATGTATGAACCCATAATTGATTAGAACTATAGGGAAGTAATAATCATATCCGGGTTCAGCTTTAATCTATGTTAAACGCTTCGCACGTATGTATGTATGTATGTATGTGTGTGTGTGTGTGTGTGTGTGTGTGTGTGTGTGTGTGTGTGTGTGTGTGTATGTATGTATGTATGTATGTATGTATGTATGTATGTAGTATGTATATATATATATATGTTAAAACAAAATCAGCGATGAGTGACACTAAACAGTCAAACATCTGAATAAAATCGGTTAATATAGATATCTCGTTATTCGCTCACGTCGGCGTTTAATTGAACATTTTCGGTAACACAAACACGCAAGAACCTTTGCAGCAAACAAAAGATATGATTCATGGCGATAAATAGCTCTCTGCTGTCGCCGGACTTGACACTTATCATTTTGCAAATATTTTTAAAAAATTTGGAAGTGATGTTGTCCATCGGGCCAAGAACCTAGATGCAAACAGGTAAAAAATCCATCGAGGACAGGGCACCTTCATATTTTTTAATCTTTTCATCCGATGCCCTGGTTGTGGCCAAACCACTTTCCCTGCTGGTTAAGTGCACGTACCGCTCCGCTAATGTGCCCGGAACGGTTACGTCCCACGCCAGGCACCTACCGGCTTTCCAAAGAATCAATGTGCAGCCATCTGGGCGTTTTCCATTCAGCGCGGAAATTCCCGAGAGCTCTTTAAAAACGGGTATTGAAGCTTTGGAGGAAAGCCGGCAGATGTAATCATTTAATGCGGAATGGCGCAACTGACGACCGCCACCCAAACGACAGACCAGGCCGTGCTGACCAAGTTCGTTAGCCTCCGCACCCCACCTACACAGATATTTTTGGTGGACCGTTAAACCCAGACGAAAACCAATGGCCATCCTGACTGTCTCATCATCCAGTCTAACCCACCGATGAGATGGGCCAGGATCTCAACCAACCGCAGCTCGCGTCACTTGACGCGGCCAGCAGACGAGCCGAAATTGCATCGTCGGGGCTGGAGGACAACACAAATTGAAAAGTTGTTTTGTATGCCTCTTCCAGCATCTGAGCTTGAAAATGTTTGGCTCGGTTGGGTGATGCTGGTGGGGTACCAAATTTTGTAAAAGATCGCCAGAGTAGGGCAGACTGCAGGTCGAGTGTGGCAGCGGCAGATGATTTGTAAACTATAGGTGCCAGCTAAACCACGCTTAACCACCCCAGTCCTCCAAACCAAAACGGCAACTGGGCCTGAGACCAGCCCCTGTCTGTCAACTCAACATTGCATAGGGCTGACAACGATGACCTCAGGGCGCCATCAAATTCGCCCAAAATGGATGCATCAACCGAGAAGGATGTACGAAGGAAATGCATCAATCTAGGCAGACTGAGGACGTTGTGGATAATGGTCAGCGCGTCGTGGACCGGAAGATGAGACACACGGTCGAGGGCAAATTTCAGCTCTGCGAGTTTTTTTTATTAAAAAAAGTGTTTTGAAACTCGCCCTCCATCAATGGGGTGCCCAAGAAGCTCAATGATGCCTCAGACACTAAGGGCACTTCCACCAGTGCTTGTGGCATTTCAAAGGAGTCATTTGCGTACAATTCGCATTTTTTAATATTAAGCTCAAGCCCAATGATGGTGGCATTGTCTTTTAAAGACAGGAAATCAGTAGCTAAAATTGCACCCTCGATGGCCAAACTGATATCGTCCAGGTAACCGCAAACGAATTTCGAAAGAAATTTTTTCAACACCGGGTGTAGGGTCATGGCAAACAACATCGGCCATAAAGGGTCACCCTGTTGTACCCAATCGGACGATTCCATCACCCAGGTGTTATAACCAAGAAAAAAAATTTGGCCATATGCGGAATGGCACTAATTGTAAATTTGGGGACAGAGCCGTTTGACTGCCTCCAGCATCGAATTTCTTCTCAGGGTATTTAAGGCATTCCTGAAGTCAATTTTTAAGAAACCCCACTTATCGGGTAGGTCCAGAACCAATTTACGAGCCGCATGTACGGCCACCTCAGCTCCTCCTTTCACCCCAACGCCCAGTTGAATTGGGTAAAGTTTCGCCTTGGTTTCTTTCAACACCAAGGTCAGAGCACATTTGCTGGCCAACTTTCTCCAAAAGTTACCGACCACTATAGGTCTAACTTCTCCATCTTTTTTCAGTCAAGACTATCAACCGACCCCCAAAAAAGAAACGGCTGGTGGCGGATGGGCAAGCGCCAGATAAAATTCTATTTATAAACTGGGTTAGGGAGCTAACAAACTCGTCGATAGGCAGTGACAGGCCTGAAATTAAATCTTTAATGTGTTGGGGCTTTAAGCAATCGAGGCCTCCAGACGAACTATTCTTAAATGACTTTAGCGCTGACAAAACCCGGGTGGGTGAAACGCAGCCATTTACTGTTTCCGGTGCAGGAAAGACTCGCCTGTCTAACCAATGTCTCAGGCGAGTCCCCCGCCAAACCCTCGGGAGAGCAGACAAGCCTGACAGCCGCCGAAAAATGTATGTATGTTTGTACGTATGTATACATATTTGTTTGTATGTTTGTTTGTTTGTTTGTATGTATGTATGTATGTGTGTGTCTATGCATGATGCACGGATGTAGATGCACACTTGTAAAGATAATATATTAAAGGCGGTACGTTCGCAGATAATTTAATTTTTAAAATGTTATTCCTTTTGTTCTGACTGTTCGTCGTTGTATTCTCTCTCTTTTCTCTCTCTCTCTCTCTCTCTCTTTAACTTTTTTTTGTATTTTTTCCACTAATTTTTTCTTTTCTTTTTATCTTCTTTTTTCCAATTCTTTAACTCTTTATTTTCGGCTTTTATCTCTTTCTCTTTCTTTCATCCATATTCTCTCTCTCTCTCTCTCTCTCTCTCTCTCTCTCTTTATCTTTCTACCTTTTCACACTTTTCCATTTTTATTCATTTTCTAAATTTTGACTTTTTTCATATCCTTTTAACAGCAAATAAATATAAATTTATTGTTTATATGTACTCATTTATACGTAATATCAAGGTGTGTTCATGCTTCTCCGTCTAAGCTTGTATGTTTTTGTGTCTGTATTGAGTGTGCTAATGTGTCCCTATGTATATACGTATGTATGTATGTACGTATATATGTATGTATGTATGTATGAATGTATGCATGTATGTATGTATGCATGTATGTATGTGTACGTGTGTGTGTATAAGTTTGGTATTTTTTTTTCATTTGTTCGTTCGTTCGTTTGTTTGGGTTGTTTTACATTTGAACAAATATTAGCAAGAATGAAAAGTTGAAATAGAATTTTTATGGAGCGTGATATTGGGTAGAGTTGTTGTTGTTGTGGTTGTTGTTGTGGTTGTTGTTGTGGTTGTTGTTGTGGTTGTTTATCGCTGTTGTTGATGATGTTGTTCATTTTCATGACCATCAATTATTATCGATGTATCTTCATCACATTATCATCATATTTACCTTTTTCATCATTATCATCCTCGTCGTCATCATCGTCATCTTCTTCTTTATCATCGCCATCTTCTTCTTCTCCTTTTTTTTCTTCTTCACCCCCATCTTAACCATTATCATCATCTTCATCATCATCTTCACCATCATCATCAGCATCATCATCAGCATCATCTTCATCAACATTATCATCATCACCATTATCACCATCATCTTCATCATCATCTTCATCATCATCTTCATCATCATCATCACCATCATCGTAGCCAGCGTTGCAGTCATTTTTCTTAATGAATAATTATTTATTTACGTTGTTGGTTGCCGGGTATAAATGTCATCATCATCGCCATCATCATCCTCATCATCATTTTTTTCGTCATCACTATCATCATCATCATCATCATCATCACTGTCATCATTATCATCATCATCATCATCATCATCGGATTTGTTGTCACTATTGTCTTCATCATTATCGGCCCTTTTGTTATCATCATCATCATCATCATCATTGCCGGTGTCATCATCATCATCATCAACACGTTTGTCGTACTACAATCTATCATTATTGAGTTTATTTGTCCCTCTTGGTTATTTTTCGTCAACATTATCATCGTCACTATCATCATCACTATCATCATCATCATCATCATCGCCGTCAAACATTTAAACGTACCAACCGACCGACCGACCGACCGACCGACCAGCGCACATGATGTTTGCATGGAAGAGAGTTTTAAATATTTCTATTTTTTCATTTCGGTCATGATGATCATAACGACGTTGATGAATGATTGAATGAATGGATGGATGGATGGATGGATAGATGGATGGATAGATAGATAGATAGATAGATAGATAGATAGATAGATAGATAGATAGATAGATAGATAGATAGATAGATAGATAGATAGATAGATAGATAGATAGATAGATAGATAGATAGATAGATAGATAGATAGATAGATAGATAGATAGATAGATAGATAGATAGATAGATAGATAGATAGATAGATAGATAGATAGATAGATAGATAGATAGATAGATAGATAGATAGATAGATAGATAGATAGATAGATAGATAGATAGATAGATAGATAGATAGATAGATAGATAGATAGATAGATAGATAGATAGATAGATAGATAGATAGATAGATAGATAGATAGATAGATAGATAGATAGATAGATAGATAGATAGATAGATAGATAGATAGATAGATAGATAGATAGATAGATAGATAGATAGATAGATAGATAGATAGATAGATAGATAGATAGATAGATAGATAGATAGATAGATAGATAGATAGATAGATAGATAGATAGATAGATAGATAGATAGATAGATAGATA